GGGAAAGTTCCCTTTCCTATAAAAAAGAGTGTTGGGATTATGTTCCCTTAAACACTGATAGGTTTATGACCCCGATTTCTGACCTCTGACGGTGGTAGCCTCTCATTTCTTTCCTTTAGCTTTATTTTTGTTACTGCAAGGGCATGTATGGCATTATAGTAAAAAGCACAATTATTAATGGACAAACCAAAATAAAAACAAACTTCATTAGCACTTAATGGCTTGGAAGCAGAGGTATTCTGGAAAATACTAGCAAAGTACAAAAATTTGGTTGGCACGTGACAGGATTTGATCTGAGCAGACAACTAAGTTTTGGTTTAAAAAAAAAGTTTACTTTGTCTGGCTGGTGTGGCTTAGTGATTGAGCATCAACCCATGCACCAAGAGATCACTGGTTCAATTCCCAGTCAGGGCACATGCCCAGGTTGTGGGCCAGATCTTCAGTAGGGGGCATGCAGGAGGCGGCCAATTGATGTTCTCTCATCAATGTTTCTCTCTCTCTCTCCCTCTCTCTAAAATCAATAAAGAAAAAAAAATTTTTAAGTTTACTTCAGTACAAGGTGGATTATATGATCTCTACATAAAGACAGAAGGGTTTTTCCTCCTAATTTAATATCTTATTTAAAATACCACTGTTTATCATTCTTAAATAATACAATAACAGGTTTAGAGCAAACTAAATTGGCATAAGGTAATACTTCTTCCAGGAGAAAGCTTCCTTACACACTGCTTGGATCCTACTCCTAGCAGTTCCTTTAGAAACACTACTAAGATGCTGCAGGTTTTGTCAACAAACTTCCAATGAAGATTAACATCTCTGGCACAGAAATCCCAGGTGAGGCCCAGGTACAGGACTTGCTAGTAAGACTTGACTTGTGCATTTGTCGAGAAATATCACCATACGAGAGGGAATCTGTATGAAGACTCCCTCTTCACCTTTTAAATACTGTGTTCATCTTTCATTGCTACATAATACATCACCACAAATGTAGAAACTCATTTTGTATCTCTCAGGTCCACAGGTCTCACTGAGTTCTCTGCTCAGGGTCTCAGGCTGGAATCAAGGTGTCAGCAGGCTGGGCTCTTATCTGCTGGAGGAAAATCCACCTGTCCGCTCCTTCAGATTGTTGGCTGTGTGGGTCCTTTTCCCTCTGCTGCTGGCTGAGGTCTCTGTCAGCTTCTTAAGACCGCTTGCATTTCTTATGTGGCTTCCATCTTAAACCAGCAAATGATACCTCCTCCTGCTGTGAATCTCTAACTTCTACCAGCTTGAGAAAATTGCTTAAAGGGCTCACATGATTAATAATGACACATGATTATTTAATGGAGCAACCACTGATTTGAAAAGCCATACCTTTGTTCAAAGACATCTCCAGTGGTTAATATACAAGTATTTGTCAATAATAGACATGTGTCTGCATGCTAAATGACCCATTGCATTCACTTTTGCCAAAGTTTTTCAATTGCACTCCCTCACACCAATGTTCTTTTTGTCTAGAATATGGTACAGGACACGCTGTAAAGAATATTGAGATTTTGGACAAAGTACACAGAAATCTTGGCTCTTAGAATCCTAGAAATAGGTTCTCAAACTCTTCTTATCCAAAGTACTCGTCATTTACACTGATATATTCTGCAGGTCTACTTAAAAATAAAAAGACTATTATTTTTTGAGAGAGAGAGGTAGGGGGATTGAGCCTGCAACCCAGGCATGTGCCCTGACCAAGAGTCGAACCAGGACTTCTCAGTCCATGGTATGACGCTCAGTCCACTGAGCCACACCAGCGGGGCTGCAGGTCTACTTTTAACCTAATAATCAAAATTAATTATTCTGTTTTCTTAAATGTTCGTATTAGCAAGCTTGATCTAGTGCTGGCCAACTGCTTTCTGCAATGAAGGAAATGTTCTGTGTCTGTGCTGTCTAATCCAGTGGCCACCAGCCACATGTGGCTATTGAGCACGTAACTGTAGCTAGTGTAAGGGAGGAGAGGAATGTTTTATTAATTTAAAGAGCCACCATGACCCTGGCCAGTTTTTCTCAGCGGTTAGAGCTCCAGCCCACAGACCAGAGAGTCCCAGGTTTGGTTTCCACTAAGGGCACATACACCTGGGTTGCAGTTTGTCCCCGGCCCCGGTTGGGTCGTGTGGGTGGCAGCCAGTTGATGTGTCTCTCACATCAATGTTTCTCTCTCTCTCTCTCTCTTCCTCCCTCTCTCCCTCCCACTCGATCTGAAGATAACTGCAAGAATGTCCTCAGGTGAGGATAAAAAAAATTTTTTTTTTAAATAAAGAGCCACCATGTGTCTAGTGCCCACTATTTAGGACAGTACAGCCATAGTTTGAATAGTTTATGTGAAATATACACCAGATGCCAAGCCATTCCTTATTTTATATAAGTAGCCTCACCATTTGATGCTTTCCCCACACTACTTTGGTAAGAATGGTTCAGTGTCTTCTCAAGGTCAATAATTTACTTTCAGTTCCAGGATTCTTCACCTCTCATCTGTCTCAACACCTCACTCATTAAAACAACCCCTAAGGCCACCACTATCATTTCTTGCTTAAGGAAAGCATGACTGCTTCAATCTAATGAAGGGTTCAGGGAAAGGACAAAGCAACTAAAAATGACACTATCTGAGTACCTGCTTCAGCAGAGGACAGGTAAGGAGTATGAGTTACAGGCTTGCCCTCAGGAGCTTGAAGTTTGGTCAGAGAACATGTGCACACAACTCTGCATAAACAATAAAAAACTCGAGAGCTGAGTGTGTATGTAAGTGTGTAGCAAGGACAGTAGGTGAAGGGTGTTAAGAAAGAAGAGTGAGGGCTAAAACAGTTGGTCCCTCATCCAGACACTGCCTGGGCACCTGCCATGTGCCAGGCACTGCTGTAGGCACTACTAGGCACTGGTAACAGATTCATGGGGAGGAGTGCACAAAAGACGCCTTGAAAGATGGACAAGATTTGGCTAAAATATTCTAAGGAACAGGAGGAAAGTGAGCAGGACAACAGGAAAGGCTCAGTCTAGAGCCTGAGACACCCCAATGGATGGCACAGGGCTGCAATAACTCACCTCTGGTTTTCAGAGGATGGCGTTTTTTCCTGCAATCAGAGTTGACTAGGAAGCAGGGAAACAAGGGGACTTCTAAACCTATCTCCAGAGTTTTACCTTCTGATACTTAACTGTTACAGCAGTAACTATGTTATGCTAGTGCCAAATTTTATAACAAAAAGTTATTTTCAAATGAAATCTGCCTGTAGGCACTGGGCCAAGAAAATTTGTGAAGAAAATCAATTAGTTATTTTAATGTAAAAATCCAAATAAAAAATTTTAACTGGAGTTTGACATAAAAACCATCATTGGTGACGTGACTTTTAAATCAAGAAAAGCAACTAAAAATTATTCTTACGTGGAGTAATGGAAACTACCCCATCATCAGTGCTTCCCAATCTCTGTCACTCAGCACAGAGAATGCTGTCTGGACGCCATGTGCTCAGCACACTGGTGACCAGGTGAGCTCCTCCAGGCTAACGGCAGCCAGCTGGAACCCCAGCCACCCAAGGCCTCAGCAGTGACTACTCTGAAAGCTCAGGATCAAACTCCACCATCTGTCACCCACCTGCAACCCACCTAAGGCACGCCAGACTGGTTTGGAACTGAGGATGATAATTAGGAATTTTTTTAAAGTAAAATACCTTTGTAAAGATCACCAACTGCTAAGGCTGATATTTTTATAGTATGTTTAAGAATTTGGAATTACATGTTTAAAAATAATACTCTTGGATATAAATGTACTTATATGTTCTAATGCATTAGAATAAATCATTTTGGAAAAACATACAACTAACTGCTATAATACCTGTCACTAAAAACCAGTATTACAATTTTGTTTTTGTTTTTTAATTAAACCAGTTATGACACACAATTGCATTATCTGGAAAACATTTGGTCAAAAATCATAAAATGAGTGCAGATATATAAGGATCAACAAGGAAAGAGATAATGCATCTAACTCATGGAATAAAGACAAAGATCAAAAAAGAGTTTGTATCTTACATATCAGGAAATGAGCAGTAAGTTAACTGTGACAGTTTGGGTTGGATCATCACCCCTGCACATTGATTTATCAGACTGGTTGGTTGTGGCTGTATGCCACACGCAGCACAGTATAATGAGCCTCAAAAAGGATATTGGTTTTGTAAATCTTGGCTTTAAGAAATGACAGATGCCTTTGAAAATATTTTGTTCAAAATCAGTGATTACAGTAGTCCCCTTTATCCACAGCGGATATGTTCCCTGACCCCCAGTGGATGCCTGAAACCAGGGCTAGTACCAAAGCCTATATATTATTTTTTCCTGTACATACATACCTGTGATAAAATTTATAAGTCAGGCACAGTAAGATTATTAACAACTAATAATAAAATAGAACAGTTATAACAGTATAATGTAATCAAAGTTATGTCAGTGAATGTAGTCTCTATCTCAAAATACCTTACTGTACTGTACTCCCCCTCATGATGTGAGATGACACAACGCCTCTATGATGAGAAGTGAGGCAGACACACTGGGTAAAGGGGTGATTCACGTCCTAGGTGTGCCGGAGAGGGACGGCGCGAGACTTCATCACACTACTCAGAATGGTGCACAATTTAAAACTTATGAATTGTTTATTTCTGGAACTTTTCATTTAATATTTTTGGACCACAGCTGACTATGGGTAACTGAAACCGCGGAAAGCAAAACCGCAGATAAGGTGGGGGACTACTGTAAAAAAGTACTTCAGTTAGGAAATCAATCGAGAATCACTCTTAAACGGCAGTGCATTTGAAAAATGGCATTAACTTGTAATGTTTGCATTTCCAAAGGAAAATATAGAAAGAACTTAAAAAAGCAAGGTAACTGGTTTTCAAAGAAAGTATAGGTTCAAAAATTTACTGCACAAAAATATGTACTTCTTAAGTGTTTCTAATAAATTAACTTCATAACATTTTTATGTATATTTGTATATTTATATATAATCCCTGATAATCTATAAAAGAGGGTCTATAATAGTAAAATAAATGAATTTCAAAAGTACCCCCTTCATAAAATGTATTTAACATTAATTTTTCTCAAATTTAAGGAATGTAACAATATGTACAACTCTTGTGTATTAGTATAATACCTAAATAGTACAAGTCATATTAACAGGCTGTCAAGACTGTAAAATGTTTGAGTCAGTTAAAATTGGAGGACAGCTTAGGTTTGAATGAATATAATTATCCGTGGGAGATTCACTTTCCGAGTGGAAATGACAATCATCTACAGTAGATTTCACAAGAGGTAGTATTCAAGTAAAAAAAAAGCACATGCTTCACTATCTTTAATCAACAAATATACAGGAAAAAAAGTATTGGTTTCTTAGAAGATGGTCAGTTGGTGAATTTTTTAATATGAATCTGAAATACAAAATTGTGAAGAGTACGATGAGGCAATTAATTTTCATTTCCAAAAAGGCCTTAAATATGAAATAAAATGTAAAAAAAAAAAAAAAGTAGACTCAAAGCTGTTTCACTGACGGACAGACAATGTCGTCTCACCTCGTTAAGAATGGCCCAGACAGCGGAATTCTGAGTAACTGAAAGTCGGAGGGCTGCAACGGGATTCAGGTTGGGATCCACCATTCCTTCTGCAACACCATTCTCAAATTTTCCTTCAAAATAAAAATTAACACTTGTTGGGTAGGCCAAGAACAAGAACACATCAAATTTCACTGACTAAAGCTGGAGAGGAAAGTACCAAAAGACTTCTAGTGGAAGTCTTCACACAGCCTGGGTAAATTTTTTTCCTTCTTCCTATTTTTATTCAACTTTCAAGTTTTTCATGAGGTAGTGCATGCTTTGAAACATTAGCAGCAATCCATTTGAAGTGGCAGAGCTGTATTTTTTCTTATTGTAAATTAAAAACAAAACAAAAATGTACTGTATTCTTGCATTAACAGTGTTTTAACACAGAGGTTTTTAGCAAAATGTGGTTTGCGCAAACCTTACCAAAATATACTCTACCATCACTTAGTCTAACCACTTTGACGGTTAAGTCAATAATAACAAATTTCAATGCTTTAATTAGACATACATACATGCAATGGTTGACCTTGAGCAGGGGCTCAATTTCATTTATTTTTTTTTTTTAATCCTTACCGAGGATATATTTCCATTGATTTTTTTTTTTAGAGTGGGAGGAACGGAGGAAGAGAAAGTGAGAGAGAGAGAAACATCAATGTAAGAGACATCGATTGGTTGCCTCCCATATGACCCTCATCAGGGCCAGGGACCAAACCTGCCAACCCAGGTGCATGCCCTTGACTGGGAATCGAACCCATGACCTTTTGGTCTGAGATCCAATGCTTAACTGCTGAGCCAAACCTGCCAGGGCTCAATAAATTTTGATATATTTCATCCTGAATATTTCCTTTCACATAGCCTAGATACTGCCAAATACTGACATCAATCCACAGGCACGTGATTTTAATGGAGCATATGCATCACTTGGAAGGTATTTATAGAATTCTATTAGATTCTTCTCTTTCATATTTGCCTTATAGATTGTCATTACTTTCAATTAAAGTGATTTATGGAAGCTACTCAATTAGCTTGATATTACTTATACTTCAAATAATGTCATCAGTGACTTGACTGCAATATAAGTTTTGCATATAAGCACTGTTTTGTCTTATAATTTTAGGCTGAATTCATTAAGAAATATCAAGTCTGCAGCAAAAATTAATTTTCAAAGAGATAATAGTGAAGTGGTTAGTTGTCTCTTGGAAAATCTTGTTCTTGAGCTCCAAAAAAAGAAATATATCACTGCTAAGTTCCAGAATTGCTGTGTGGTAGGGCAAGTCAGGATACTCAGTTCCTAGATCTGACAAAAAAATCACCGAACTGATGATGGCAAAGTCCATGAGAGTGAATAAAGTTCACTGTAGACACTACTGATTTAATAAAAGAATGACAGATTCATATACTTCCTGTAAAGTACCTGCTGATGAATACTAAAATAACCATAAACTTACATCTTCACAAGCTTTGTAAATTTATTCAACTAAGCCTTCTCCACATGTATTTTCACAACCATTCATTGTTTAACACAGCAGATTCCACTTCAAGTTGTACTGAATTTGTATACTCTCAACTTGTTTGAAAGTATTCTTGTCTGCAGTTGTTCCACAGACTATCAGAGGCCAATTCTTCAGTCACTTCAAATGTGGCACTGACTCCAAATACCTGGGCAGTATTAGCAACACCTGTCAACTCACCAAAAGCCAAGGAAAACTATTCAAATAATTTGCTTTGTTTTCTGACTACTGATAGTGTTCCCAAAGTCCTCAACTCTTCAAGCAATTGTTGCTGAAAGCTGAACAGTTTAAAATGTTTTTTTCTCTGCACGTATACCTTTGGCCACTGCAATTAAGCGTGATTTAATTAACTCACAGTTGGTAAATGTGTTTTACTTGCTTGCTTAACACATGTGATACTTTGAAACTCACCTGGTTACAGCCTCATTTGAATTTATTTTTGTGAAGAAATTCCGCTGTGATGAAATATTTTAAATTTTTTAGTTTTTCTGATCACTGCTTTCCTGTGAGCTGAGAATACTGTTGTGAGTGCTTAGTATGGAGATGTATTCTTTAGCACAGCTACTGTGTCACTGCATAATAACCACAATGATCTGCCACCCAAGTGTGTAAAATAATTCACATTCCACTGTGTTAAAAAGCATTTGAGTCTACTTTTGTTTTGACATGGTGGGTAAGTGCTGGTAATTTTTTTTTTTAAATCCTCACTGAGGATATTTTTCTATTTATTTTTAGGTAGAGTGGGAGGGAGGGGGGCGGGGGAGAGAAGCATGTGTGTGAAACACATCAACTGGTTGCTTCCCGCATGACCAGACCAGGGCTGGGGATGAACCACAACCAAGGTACGTGCCCTTGACTGGAACTGAATCCAAGACTCATTGGTCTGCAGGCCAATGCTCTAACTGCTGAGCCAAACTGGCCAGAGTGATCATTTTTTTTTAATGTTACAGTACCATAATGTGTGTGGAACTGGAAACATTGTCAAACTAGAAATGCATCATTGCTATTGGTAGTGCACCCGCAACAATCTGGAGCAATGAGAGCGCTGCCTCGAGCTCTCCTACAACTTTTCACCCATCTTTCCTGTTGCAGCATAAAAGCATACAGACGACACATATCAAAATACAAGGGAGCATGGCTGTCCCAACACACTTTGTTTATGGACAGTGAAATTTGAACTTTTGTAAGTTTTACAGGCCAACAATATTCTTTTTATTTTTCAACCACTTAAAAATGAAAATAGCCCTGGCCGGTTTGGCTCAGCAGTTGGAGCGTCGGCCCTCAGACCTATGGGTCGCAGGTTTGACTCCGGTCAAGGGCATGTACCTGGGTTGCGGTTCGTCCCCTGCCCTGGTCGGGTTGTGCAGGAGGCAACCAATCGATGTGGCTCTATCACATCGATGTTTCTCTCTGTCTTTTTCTCTCCCTCACTCTCACTCTATCTGATAATAAGTAGAAAAATATCCTCGGGTGAGGAATAAAAAAAATGTTTAAAAAGTTTAATAAAAATGAAAATAAACAATAAAAAAGAATTTTAAAAACATTCTTAGCTCAGGGTCCATTCAGAAACAGCCAGTGGGCCAGATCTGACCTCTGGGTGTAGTCTGCTGACCCTTGTGGAGTTAAATTTTACGGTCTATTCTAGAGTCTTACAATATATTGACTAGGCTCCTAGTAAGATAAGATACAATCAAATTGAAAATTATATCAGACAAGGCTTGTATTCATTTGTATAAGAAATATTAAACTTATATATTTCCAAAGTAATGTTGTTTTTAAAAGTATTAATAAATTTAAGTATTAATACATTTATTTCATAAAAGCACGTGCATACTTGGGGCTGGATTGGAATAGGGAATATAAGAAAGTATTACTGACCACTGAGTTAGGCAGGAATTCAGGGCTGAAAAATACTGGGAAACATGAAACATTTTAGCTAATGTGGTATCTGATACTGTCACCTGATGAGCTCATTTAATTAGAAAAATAATTACTGAATGATATAACTGGCCTCATTAAAACACATGCATCCAGCAATTTTATTCTGCAGATAAAAAAATTGCAAACTAGGTTATCATCACAAGGAGACTGGCTAAATAAACTATGATATGCTAATATGAAGAAATACTAGGCAGCCAACTTAAAACAAGAAATAATGAAGAATGAAGATAATGCAGTTGAAGACTTACTGCCATCCCTAAGTATACACTGTAGAGAAACTCTCACATATGTGCATAAGTGTTCAAATCAACATTGTTTAGAGTAACAAAAAGATGGAAACAAACTTTATGCCAAACAGGAGAATCTACATAGCAGTGAAAATGAATGAGCCATAGATACACGCATCCACATGGATAACTCTCCCAGTGGTGAGAGAAAAAAATTTAGACTACAAAATTTAAAAATAAGAAAAATAACACTGTGCATTGTTTGGGGTTATAGTATACATATATAGCAAAGTGCACATGGAAATGGGAGCCACAAAATTTAGGATAGCAGTTACCCTTGGGTGGAGAAAAAAAGAAGATAGCAGGGAAGAACAACTGAATTGGCAAATCTTAGGCCAATACACAGATATTCATTATATTATCTTTGCATCTTTTTGCACATCTGAAATATTTACAATTTTTTTAAAAATGTTCATCTTCCATACGCACATAATGTATTTTGTTCAGTGAAGAAACAAGATGCAGTATGAGGTTGTACAGAATGTAAATATTTGTATGTAACTATGTGTTTTACAGAATATACTCACATATTCTAATTTATAAATAGGATACTCCTGGAAGGACACAAATTACAGGAATTGCCTCCGGGAAACACTAGGTAGGCGGGGAAAGACGACGGAATGAGACTTAAGTTTATCCTTTTAAATTTGTGATTGGTACCATGTGCATGTATTATTTTTCCAAACAACAAAAATTTTTTAAAATATGTTTTTATTGATTTTTTTAAAGAGAGAGGACGGGAGAGATAGAAACATCGATGTGAGAGAAAAACGTAGATCGGGTGCCTCCCACACGCCCCCTTCTGGGGATGGAGCCCAAAACCCAGGCATGTGCCCTGACTGGGAATTGAACCAGGACCTCTCAGTCCATGGGACAAAGCTCAATCCACTAAGCCACACTGGCCAGGCCAAACAACAAATTTAACTTTAATCCTTAACCCAATGGTATAGTAGGTAAGCATTAAAAGACAGGAAAGAAGCCCTGGCCGGTTTGGCTCAGTGGTTGGAGTGCCAGCATGAGGACCGAAGGGTCTCAGGATTGATTCCGGACAAGGGCATGTACCTGGGTTGCAGGTTTGATTTCACCCCAGCCAAGGTCATGCGGGAGGCAACCAATTGATGTGTCTCTCTCACCTCAATGTTTCTCTCTCTCTCTCCTTCCCTCCCTCCCTTCCACTCTATCTAAAAAAATCAATGGAAAATTATCCTCAGGTGACAATTAACAACAAAAAGACAGGAAAGAAGGGGAGGAAATTAGTAAAGAGTGACGAGAATCCTAAAATCCTGGCATTGTGAGGGGCTTCCAAGGCCATGTCCTTTTCAGACCTCCTTCTGCCACCCCGACACAGTCCATTCCTTCTTCCAGTGTTCCTGTGAAAGGCTCTTCTGCCTTCTTTAAGGTACTAGGAGTTAGTATTTCTTTCACAAGACTGTCCTTAGCTGTCATGTCACACCATCTAACCTACCCACCTTCAACCATCAGTTCTCTATTGGTTGCCAGTTGACCTATTGTATCTGACATGCCTTCAGGCGTAAGTTAATGCACAGTCTGATCCAATTAAATCCAGGCCCCTTTGTGGGCCAGTCTTTGTGGCTTCTTCCCACCCATGAAGATTCTAATAGCTAGTTCTTTCCCTGGTTCTCTCCATTAAACAGACTCCAGTTTAGCTTGAATGTAGCTACTAGTCTCCTCTTAACTGCTTACCACCAAAATCCCAATTGTATTCCATAGTGCCCTTAAGACTTGAACTTCACTAACCTCTGTTTCAAATAAGTCAGTCCCCTTTGGGAGAGCTATAAAGCTCTCTGTTCTTACGGCCGGCCTCTCCCCTGGAGAGAATCTCTATGCCACTGCTGAGGATCTTTGGCAGGGACAGCAGCGAACTTCCCCGAGAGTGACATCCCTACTTTATGAGCAGAGCACTGGGTTGTAGCAGAAGCCCTTCATTTTCTTGGCTTACCTCTCCCAGTGTGCTGGGGCAAGTGATCTGGGGTAAGGGCAATCAGCCTGGGAAGAGCTTCTGCCCTGCAAGTGGAGGTTTGGTGAAGGAAGGGAGCCTCGGGTTTCTTAGCTGCTCTTGTTGGAGCAGAGCTTCTGCAACATGGAGCTGGGAAGGAGGAGAGATCTAGTGCCTGCCCTTCCTGGTGAGAGGCCACCATCCAGAGTGGGAGCTGGTGGGAGAGGGAGTCCAGTGTTCTCAGCTGACTGCAGAGAACAGAGCTTCTGTCTCACTGACTTGGGTAAAATAGGTAATGGAGTGGATGAGGACTCAAATGCCTGGATTCTTAATATTCTTACTGAGATTCAGATTTTCATGGGATATGTTTCTCCATTTGCTGTATTTAAAAAAATAATAATTTTCACCAGTTGTGGTTGTTTCACTAGGGAGAATGTCTGCCGTGAAGCTCCTCACACGCCATTCTACTAAGCAAACTTTTTAAGGGAGCAGAATTTTTTAAGTTCAGTTGAAAAAAAAAATCATTGCTCTATGTTTCTGATGTGTGCTTTTGTGACACAAATAAGTTCTCTTCTGGTTCTAAATATGTATGAGTTGATGCTTGAGATGGTCTTTACCTTCAAATTATTGCAGATAATATAAATGTATCTATTTCCTATGCTACTTTCATAATTTAAATCACAACATTCTCAGAAATTAAATAACTGACAGGAAATGGGGTTAATAAATGTATCATGTACTCTGTAATTTTATGTATTTTTCTAGAGGTGGGCTAAGATGTAACCCAAATATGCAAATAAACTCATCTATATACCCAAACTACACAGAAATGAGTCAGGGTTAGCATACAAGCCTTGTAGCAAAAACTGAATGATACTCACCAAATGTAAAACTGATCTAGAGAGAGTTGCAAGACTGTATCTGTCCTGCATACCCACACTATTAATTTACCAATACTCTCTTTTGCCTACTACTAAGAAAAGCATTAATTTGTTTTAAGTAAAAGAAAATATATAGTCATTCATTGAGTTGATATCTATGTGAGAGACAACACCCCTCCCTTTCCATGGGGAGCACACAGAACTGAGCCATGACTACAAGTACAGGGACACATGGTGTGGTAAGAAAGGAAATGAAAGTGTTCACTAGGAGGATAAAGATTAACTGATCATTTCCGGTAAAAAAAAATAGCTAGAGATTAGTCAAAGAACATATATGCATAGCCAATGGATACAGACAACAGTGTGCTGAAGGCCGGAGGTAGCGGGGTGGGGGCTGGGTGAAGGTGGACAAAGGGGTGGGGGAAATCTGTATTAATGTTAACAACAACAAAATAAACAGCCAGAGACTTGGCTTCTCATGGAGCATGGGACATGAGTGGAACAATAGTCTTGGGACTAGAGAAATAAAGAATAAGAGGAAAGTAACAAGTTGTGAAAGTGGGTTGGAACTAAGGAATCTAATCATGGAAAGTCATTAGGTTTTTCCCAGGTTAACATAATTATAATATCGACATTTTTAAAAAGGTAACTGCAGTGGCTCTGAGAAAAGCCAACCAAAGGACACAGGTAGACACAGCTCTACTCTGGCTCCGAAATAGAGGCACAGAGTCTAGAGCACCATCACAGATGGACATATTTGTGCTAATGAGTAGTAAAGGAGGATGGTATTCAGGGTATCTCCCAAAGTTAGGCTCAGGCAACCAGATGACTTGTGACAACAGAAAGTGTGGTGACCAATAAAAAATATCCTAAGCAAATCAGAAAGAAAATATGCACCCCTATGTTCATAGCAGCACTATTTGCAATAGCTAAGATCTGGAAACAGCCCAAGTGTCCATCAGTAGATGAGTGGATAAAAAAGCTGTGGTACATGTACATAGTGGAATACTATGCAGCTGTAAGAAAGAAAGATCTCTTACCCTTTGAGACAACATGGAGGGAACTAGAGAGTATTATGCTAAGTGAAATAAGCCAGTCAGAGGAAGACAAGTATCACACAATCTCACTTATTTGTGGAATATAATGAACAAAATAAGCTGACGAACAAAATTGATCCAGAGACATGGAAGTAGGGAACAGACTGACAAACCTCAGAGGGAAGGGGGGTGGGGGGCAGGAAGAGATAAACCAAAGAACTTACATGCATAACCAACAGATACAGACAATAGTGTAGTGAAGGTAGGGGGAGGGGCGGGAATGGGGAGGAGGATGTCAATGAGGGTAAAAACAAAAGACATCTGTAATACTTTCAACAATAAAGATAAATTTTAAAAGAATGACCATATTACAGATGCTCAGAGTAGGTGGCTTTGTCAGTGGGTATCAACACAGATCTAAAGCTCAAGATGGGGGTTAGAGAGAAAGGCACAGATTCTGGCACATGGATGTTGCAGAGACCAGGAGAGTAGTTAAGGTCACGCAGCCAGACTGCAGAAGGCAGCTGAAGGCAGATCATCTATCAGTGAATATCAACAGTGAAATGGCAGGTGGGGCCCTGGCTGGTTTGGCTCAGCGGTTAGAGCGTCGGGCCACAGACTAGAGAGTCCTGGGTTTGGTTCCCGCTAAGGGCATGTACCTCGGTTGCAATATGTTCCCAGCCCCAGTTGGGGTCATGTGGGTGGTGACCACTTGATGTGTCTTTCTCACATCGATGTTTCACTCTCTCTTTCTCCCTCTAGCTCTGTCTGAAGATAAATGCAAAAATGTCTTCGGGTAAGGATTTAAAAAAAAGAAAAAAAGAAATAGCAGGTGAGGGGAAAAAAGAGGAACCAGTAAATGAACCTTTGATCTGAAATCCTAGTTGGGTCAAGATAAAACACAGGGACAAATCAAACTTGGAATGCATTGGTAACTGTAATTTTAAAGCTGTTAAACATTTAAAATTTTAAACATTTAAAAGTATTTAAAATTACTTTAGGAGCCCTGGCCAAGGGTCCTGTACAACCAAAAGGTGGTGGGTTTGATCCCCAGTAGGGGCACGTACAAGAGGCAACTGATCGATATTTCTCTCTCACATTCATGTTTCACTTTTTCCCTTCCTCTTTCTCAAAAAAAAAACAAACAAAATCAATGAACATATCCACAAGTGAGGATTAAAAAAATTACTTTAGGAGTAAGTTAAAAACAAAGGACTTTTTAAAAACAAGTTTAAAGTATGTATTACCTATTCTGAAATAACCATCTTCTAATCGTTTGTCTTTGGTTTCTTTGCTTATTTCCAAACCTTCACTCTAAAATAGAGCAAAAACATTACTTTATAAATAATTTCTTCTATTTAAAACAAAGCTAAGTTACTACTATATCTTAAAATAAATATAAAAGTAGCATTTGTGGCACAGCTATCTCTAAAAATAGAAAATGTCAATTCAGTCTTGAACCTTAAAAAGCTTATCAATACAAGTGTTCATTTTTCTAACCTTCATCTAAATCTGTATATAATATACTAGTGATTAAGAAATTCAAATTTCAAGTAACTTTAAATTCAGATCAATTTAATATAATACTACTTTCTATTTAAAATATACACAAGAACTGTATGTTAACTTGGAAAAAATCTAGGCATTCCATACAGACCAATACATTAACTTTGTGTAGTAATCAACAGGTATTAAAACCACATGATATTGGGGGACTCAATATAAAACAGCAGGTAAACATTAAAGTAAAAGAACAATTCATTCATTTTCCTAGTACAAACTTCCCAGTACTTTCCAATGGAAAACAAAATAAAGGCTCATTCTATAAATAAGGCAAATGGGACAATATACTAAGTGTTCCATATTTCAAAAAAATTAATATTACTCACCACTGAGGTCCTGCAATAATGAGAACTTTCTTTCACCTCATAAACAAGAACAGCCTCAAACCAAGTCTACTGGTATTAGTTCTTAAGAATTAAGAGGAAAAAATAGTCATACCTTAAAAGGCAAAACTTCCACAGATGTGTTTAGCAGAATATCTCCTGGATGTTCTTGATTGCCACTATGGAACAAATAACTGAAAATGCAAACATAAAAATAAAAATACAAGTCAGACAAGACTTTACAAAGATTCAAGAAGGTGACCTTCCTTAGAGGAAACTTTCTACACAAGCTGACAACACTAGAATTTGTAGTAACTGCACATTATGCATTATGTTCTGAATAGTTGTAGGGAACTTAAAAACTGAAGGGTGCACCCTTAGGTGCTATGTTAATTCATTCTGTCAGAAGGGACATATTTACTGTTTAATGTAATAATGTATTTAACAGACTAAAAAATGATGACAGTTTTATGTTGCTGTTTATACTGCTTTAAATATATAAACCTCTTGACAGGAATAATCAAAGTTGCATTATAATACTGTGTTTTTTATCAGACAATGTTCACTAGCAGAGCCATGAGGTATGGCAAGTTAAAAGACTAATTTTTGGGGATATTTTTAGAGAGAGAGGAAAGAAGGGGGGGGACAGAGAGAGAGAGAGAGATCAATTTATTGTTCCACTTATTTATGCATTAATTGGTTGATTGTTGTATGTGTCCTGACTGGAAATGGAACCTGTAACCTTGGCACACCAGGACAATGTTCGAACCAGCTGAGCTATATGGCCAGTATTCAAAACTAGTTTTACCCAATACAAATTATTTTAGCATTAGTAGAGTAAAAATAAGTGAACCAATTCTAAATATCTGAATAATTCTATTTGTCAGTGTTAACAAATATTTGAATAATGACTGATTACATGATATACTGTAGTATATCTAAAATACTCTTCTGGTATGAATATAATGTTCTTATGCTTTGATACTCTGAGAACTAGAATGTGTGGGTATGTGGAGGAGGGTGGAAACAAATAGGGCATATACAGCATTATCTAAATCTAAACCTAAAACTTAAGTTTAGTTATGTTAAATAGTTAAAAATTTCTGCTTAGCAGTCAAAAAGACTTGAATCCTGGTTGTCTCATTTACTAGCATTTTCACCTTAGCAAGTTGCATGACCTTTCTGAGCCTGAGTTTTATCTATACAATGCAGATATTCCCACCCACATATGAAAGTATCAAGAAGTTCATGAGAACTGACAAAAATTACTTTGCATATTAAGTGTACTCAGCAAGTAATAGTTACAATACGATTCTGATATAGTTATAGTATGGTATTTGTGGGCAGAAATCACCTATGATAAAGACTTGTTTTTTTTATTTATTTTTCTTTATTGATTTAGAGAGAGGGAGAGAGAAAGATAGAAATATCGATTAGAGAGAACATTGACTGGCTGCCTCCTGCATGCCCCCCACTGGGGATCAGGCTCACAACCTGGGCATGTGCCCTGACCAGGAATCGAACCAGTGACCTCTTGGTGCATGGGTCGATGCTCAACCACTGAGCCACACTGGTTGGGCAAGGACTTGATTTTTAAATGTTACATGGGTCAAGGGACCCTAAAAAGAAGCTCCTTCTAAGCTACATTAAAGATTACTTCCAGCATTTTCACTGAAATACTTCTTTTTAAGACATCTTTGCCATGGAATGCTGCTTTATATAACCACAGACCATTCAACATCTCAGTTATAGATGCAAAAATATGGGTGGAGAAACCACTTTAGAAAAGTAGAACCCAGCCCGGCCAGTGACGCTCCGTTTTCCCATGGACTGAGAAGTCCCAGTTCGATTCCCTGTCAGGGCACATACCTGGATTTTGGGCTTGATCCCCAGTAGGGTGTGTATAGCAGGCAGCCGATCGATGTTTCTCTCTCACATGGATGTTTCTATCTCTCTCTCTCCCTTCCTTTCTCTCTCTAAAAAAATCATATTAAAAATCATATAAAAAAACATATTAGAAAAAAATAGAACCCAGCCCTGGCAGGTGTGGCTCAGTTGGCTGGGCATCATCCTTGCATTGAAGGGTTGCTAGTTTGATTCCAGATCAGGGCCCAGGTTTCGGGTTCAATTCCCCAGTATGGGGCATGCAGGAGGCAGTCGATTCATGTTCCACTCTCACATCAATGTTTCTTTCTCTCCCTCATTCCTCTCTCTCTAAAAATCAATAAAAATAAATTTATGAAAAAAGGAGATTCCATTAATACAATCTGGAGTTTAGACAGACTGATTCAGATATGTCCGCTATGCAATTTCTCTAATGAAAAACTTGATACACCACTTAAAAAGTTTAACATTAGAAGAAGTAAGTGATGATTGAGCCATGCCATAGGATACTGTGCAGCCAGTAAAATGTTTATGAATTGTATATGCCAAAGTATAATGGAAAATGTAAGATATAAAATTACACATACACCATAATCTCAGAGTATAAAGTATACAGAATTACCAAGAAAAAAGAAGTGCCAATATGGTCATAATAGTGTCCTTGAGGGTGTAACTTTTTCCTTATTCTTCATACTTTTAAATTTTTGTATAATAAGCATATATGCTATACAGCCAGAAAACATTTTCCTAACACTTCATGTCTGCATTGATAAATAAGACTTCTACTATTTTCCCTCTTAGCATATAAGTTATTGTGAAAATCAAAAAGTGATTGCTTTTTTCTGTCCTAAGACAGAAAATACATGAGTTTCTACTAGAAAAGCACCCTCAGTAGGGGCATGTAAATACCCTTTACAGAGGTTTATTGTAAACATATTTGTTGTTACGAAATGTGATCTTCAATATTTGAGATTTTAGGCAAATCTTCAATGAAATTATTTTCATTTGCTAAAAATAAACCAATAGACATGGCTCTAGGCTATTCTTGTTTACCAAGAAGGTGAAAGAAAATTGTTGTTTCTAATTCTGTGATGACTCTTTGAGTGTGGTAAACAATACCACAAAGTGTAGATTATCACGATATAGTATACACATGAACATTAAATAACAAATATTACATACTCATATAAGTGCAAAATATTTTAAAGTATTTTTATGTTTTTCCAGTGATATTTCCATTGCTTAAAACATTTTTACCCTTAAATTTTTCTTTAGAATCAGTATAGAGTAACAAAAGAAAATTATTAACATTACATTATAGTTATGCATTGTTTTTGTCTACCTTAAACAGAATTACTCCAAATAACTTTTGGCAGATTCCAGAAACCAAATAGCCTTCTCACAGAACACATAATAAATCAGAGGCTAGAAAAATATATTCTCTTCTCTGGGGATCACATGTGAGTAAACATGCTACAGACAGTCAGGAAACAGCCAAAACTGAGCAAAGTTTGAAGGACTCATGACTACAAAATAAAAAACAGGGAGAAAGAGTCCTAAACTTCGTACAATGGACATAAATGTTGGAAAACATAAAAGAGTTGTGAGTTCCTCCATGATGTACTAAAAGGAATCCAGTATTTGCAAAACCATTGACTAGAAATAGGCATAGTCTGTTAAACCTGTCATTTCAACCAATTTGCTGGGTAATCAACCATCTCTCACTCAACTCTTAGGGGATATTCCAGGATAAGGATGTGAAAACAAATTTGAGATTTTGTGGCACAGTTCTACATAAAAGTATTAAAAAACTATACTAAATGTATGTTCAGAAATTCTAATAGAGTTTATCAAGCATGCCAAATGCACCCTAACCAGTTTTGCTCAGTGGTTAGAGCGTCAGCCTGCAGTCCAGAGACCCGGGTTCGGTTCCCACTAAGGGCACGTACCTCGGTTGCAGTTTGTCCCTGGCCCTGGTTGGTCGTGCCGGTGGCGGCCATTCGATGTGTCCCTCTCACGTCGATGTTTCTCTCCCCATCCCTCCCTCCCACTCTACCTCAACAAAAAATGGAAAAATGTCCTCAGGTGAGGATAAAAAAAAACAAAAAAACATGCCAAATGCTGTTATTATATCTGAGAACAACATACCCATTTTATTACTGAGTTGTAGGAAATGTATTTTATAACAACATTTGGGACCCACTCCTCACATCTGTTATACACAGAAAAGTTCCATCATAAATCACATTACAAAAGAGGTTTGAACTGTAAGACCAAATATATTTTAATAATCACCAACCTTTCCACATTGACTGGCTTATCAAATTTAAACAAGATGTAGTCTCCAGCTATCGGGGTTATAGCCCAGAAGAAATCCTCCCCCATATATGTTTTCTCCAGTGTGTGTCCTTGGTAGACCTTCAAAGAAGTCGATACTTCTGCAGGTGGGTTTACGTGGATTTTAAGAAGTAACGGTTTCATGTAATCTTTATCCTAGAAGGAGAAACATATATGTAATTAAAACAACCTATAGCTTATTTATACTTAAGAGGAAGAGCAATGACAATGCACTAAATAACAAATTGTTCATGAGAAAAATCAAATGAAATCACCAACCGTAAGTTTCTGAATTTTTCCTGATAGTGAAGAATGCAGACCGACATGTTGAAAGAGGGAAGGTCTGAAGCGAATTCGTAGATTTGCTTTCTGTCTATCACAATGTTTCTAAATATTAGGGAAAAAATTATGTTAGTGTTACAAACTGTTATAAAGTGAAATCTTATCCTCATCTGAAAAATGAGAGGTCCTTTAGGTAAATATTGAGAAGAAAATCCAACTTCACCTCATAATTACAAATCATATTTTTTTAGGGTCCTCATTGAGGCAGCAACATAATTACTACCTACTTGATAAACAGACAAGATGCATAAATTTTAAATAGCACATCTAAGAGAAATGTTAAGAATTTAATTTCAACCATTTTCACAGTATATCAATACAGACTTGTCTTTTAATGTTAAAATGCACAAACTATAAACTAAAGGTTTGGGTCAAATAGACAAAATATACAAAAAAGATAATATAATAAATAATTTGCAAATAAAGTCCCAATTCGTTGCATCAAAGCAATTTGAAATGTAAGGCAATAACTTGACTATAGGAAGCAAGTTAATGATAAGAAAAATGCCGCAGGCAAATCTATCTCAGCACAGCTAAGGGATGCCTACGCTTCAGCTCAAAGTGCCTCATGGCTCAGACTTCACATTGCAACCTGTCCTCAAACTCGATTAGAGTGTGAGACACCTATGATGTGAGCAGGGCTCTCAATGGGTGTTTGGTTTTTCAAGATAGCTATGGCTGGCTGGCCATGCTTTTATAAACTCTTTATTTTCAATTACTTTTTATAAGTTTTAGGCCAAGAACAAATGAAAAAAGACACATTTATAAAACATTTCCACTCTGAAAGACCTCCAATAACTTACTAGGTGTTAAAAGCCCTGATTATTTTGGGACCCAGTGTCTCCTCACATCTGTCATACATACACAAAAATTCCATCATAAATCACCTTATGAATAAGAGGTCTGAATTGTAAGACCAAATATATGTCAATAATCACCAACCTTTCTACATTGACTGGCTTATCAAATTTAAAAAAGAGCCCTGGTTGGTTTGGCTCAGCAGTTAGAACGTCGGCCTGAGGTCCGGAGAGACCCGGGTTTGGTTCCCCCTAAGGGCATGTACTTCGGTTGCAGTTTGTCCCCGGCCCTGGTTGGGTCATGCAGGTGGCAGCCACTCGATGTGTCCCTTTCACATCGATGTTTCTCTCTCTCTCTCTTTCTTCCTCTCTCTCCCTCCCGCGCTGTCTGAATAAAAAATGGAAAAATGCCCTTGGGTGAGAATAAAAAAAAAAAATTTAAACAAGCGGTTAGCATTACTACTAACACTAGAACAGAAGTAAAGTACTATATTTTATTCACACAAATTCAACTACTCAAATGGAAGGAGAGGGAAGGGGAAGAACAAAGGGAGGGGGAGAAGAAAAGAACAAACAGGGCCCAAGACTGAGCCAATCATTCAGTAGGCAATAGACACATGTGGGCCTGAAGAGTCAGAGCCGTTGATAAACCTTTGGAAGGATGTGTGAATGCTTCAGTGTTTTTCAGACCACTGTCAAAGACACTGTGCCAGATGCCAGCAAGTATGTGGTGAGAGCTTCTTTGACAGCCTAGTAGAAGCAACTGAAGAGTTATGGGCCACAGAAAAATGTGGCCTAAGAGTGAAAGAAGAGAGAGAATTGGCCAAAGGGTTGTGTACTAAAATTTACCAGTGAATAAAAGGTTTTCATAGTTTTAATATCTACTATCAGAGATTTTAAACTCAAGCTCATTTCAGAACCTAACCATATATTAAATCAAATTGCACAGGACAAATTAAATGTAAGTATACTTTAGGAGTGTGAAGATGACATTAACTTTATTGTGCCCTATAAAAAAATTCCTGTAAATCACAGAGAAAACAGTTAAGGCCTTACATCATAAACATGAGTTGTTTGAAACAATTTATATGTCTAGTCATTGTTGGAAAGTAAATATTCTGCTATTTCACTATACTCCGTGATTTCCTCCAAGAAACTGGTTATTTAACAACAAAAAGCAACAACAAAGGGAACACATGCAATGATAGCTTACAGACACCAGAAGATAATGTCCTAAAAGTGAATTGGAAGATAGGATGATAAAACTATTCTATAAGGTCATGAAGTAAAATTAAATTAAATGTTTATTTGTTAGAATGAATATTAAGTCAACCATATGCTTTTAATAAATATTTTCATGTTATTACGCATCAAATTTACTTATTCATTTTTAAGAATTTGTACATTCATATTTCATTTATGCTTATATCAAATAAATAAAAAATTTGTGTTTTTTTCAGAGGTACAATTCAAATCATGTAAGAAAAACATCTAATTAATTTTTGCAATAAGATTTCTAAGAAAGTAACTTGATATTTGAATAATCAAAGTAAAAACCATCGTTCATTTACCACCACCATCCCAAAGGTCAGCATATCAGTGTGAACATTGGTTTCTTCCAAGTAATAAACTGAAAGGTACTTTCGTGACTTGTCATTATTTTGGTATAAAATATTACTTCTATGTTATTCCTTATTTCTAGATGTGTAGGGGTCTGATATTATCCCCGAAGTATTTAAAAAAAGAAAGTTGACAGAGAATATGAAGAAAATTGAAATAACAGCCCACACAGATATGACCAACACCACTAACCAATAGCAATGAGATAGCACAGCCTAAAGACACTACAGCCATTGATCAGCAACTTAAAGAAAAAGGGGCTTTCCTGATTTATCAGATTTCCCACTGTTCTTTAAAAGTCCCTCTACTGTCCAGCCAGTGTGGCTCAGTGGTTGAGCATTGACCCTGCACCAAGAGATCGCCGGTTCTATTCCCAGTCAGAATACATGCCCAGGTTGTGGGCCCGATCCCCAGTAGGGGACGTGCAGGAGGCGGCCAACTGATGTTCTCTCTCATCGATGTTTCTATCTCTCTCTCCCTCTCCCTTCCTCTCTCTGTAAAATCAATAAAGGAAAAAAAAATTTTTTTAAATAAAAGTCCCTCTACTATAGAAACTTTGATCAGTTCAAGAAAGACAGCAAGCACTTGAAGTGTTAAGTGAAAACACCTATTTAGCTGTTCATTTATAAAATCTAGCTCCCTAAAAGTCATTTTCATGAAATACAGAAGAGAAGCTTCTTCCACCCTCATAAGAAATTAACTTACTGCATCTTTTTCAGGGTTGCAGACTTTCACCCACAGAATATGGTCCAAGAGCCAATCAATGGGCTTCTCCTTATAGAACATAAATATGAATTCCACAATCAGAGTGAGGTCTGGTGCTTGAAACATTTTACCTGAAAAGATATTCCAGTCAATAGCTATAATACAGAAACCAAGCATCAATACAGCTTAAGTGAAACATACACAACAAATAAATAAAGCTTGTACTTTTCAACTATAAATCAGTATGAAGAATGTCCTCACTAGTCTTATCAAAAACAAAACTTCCTTTAGCTAAACATTGAGCTGTCATCTGGGTATAAATGGAAGTAGTAAATTCCTGATTTTCTCTATTACAAAATCTATCATACAACTACTGCCTCAAAGAATTCAAGAAGCAAGTCAGAGATTTTTCCTTCATGTCTTACTAAGATTCTTCCTATAAAAAAAAGAACTAAAGAGGTTTAGGTAAAAAAATTTTTTTCTTAATAATAAATGCAAAAACAAGGACTCCTAGTTCTGTCTTTACTTAAACCTTCACAAGTAAAGATTTTTTTTTTAACTCAAATTAAGTTTGAGATAAATGATCAACAAGATCAAAAGCCCAGCCTCTAATATTTAAAGTACTATAGGAAGTGAAATGTTATTCTCTGGGTGTTTTTTAAAATTTGTAAATTTCCTTCAATTCTCCAACTTTCAACATATTCTCTTTAGATGGGTAATTTAGGAATGTTAGTGAAAAAAAAAACACCAAACTTTTAAAATGAGCACCGTAACTAGTCAATAAAAGAAATGAATACAAATTAATCACTAAACGGGAATTTCATGTACTATATCAAATACCAGCAATTCATATTAGAAAGCTGTTAGTCTGGCATTCTTTAAAACAAACAAACAAACTTGCAAAAGCAGTGGGCTGTAGAAGAGGTGTCAGAGTTCAAGAACTCAGACATGCTCACCAGGACCATGGCTGGCTTTACATGTGGACATACAGAGCCAATGGGGCTGCCTTGTAGAACTCTAGAGAGTAAATATTACAATCTTAGAAATCTCCAAATACTATTTTGGATTGACTTTCACCATTTGCCTAAGCTAAATTTGCTCAAAAACAATCAATTTCCAGAGAATAAAGACAACTTTAAAGTAAAAAAAAATCCCAATATCCCAAGATTCACAGTTATTTCTGAGAAGATAAATTTGACACTTTTCTTACCAATGAAGCCCAGCTGGGAAAACTCTAGTATCATCCATTCCTCAGAAGACAGTTGAAGGGCAAAATTTTTAATAGTGTTAAAATAATTCTGTTTGGCAATAATATCATCTTCAAGCTAAGGAAAGTTGAACAATTATATTAATAAATCAGAAAGAGAGGAAAGATTTAGATAGATGGATCTTCTTTATTATGGAAACAAGCACACTTTATCATGAAAGTCAAGTGAACAATGGTAAAAAATGAAAATACAAAATTAAATTTTATTCGAGGAAAATAAAAGAGAAAATGCACACAGCAAGTCAACTAAACCACTCTCTTATTGTCTGAAATAACAATACCACTCCATAAATTACTCCTTTTTGGTCCTTTTATAGTGCTCAATGTGATTTCACACTACCTTTCTTCTTTCTAGGTCTTTAAATCACTTTTTGCTTTTTACATAAAATGTATACCAAGTCAAAGAAAAAGGTAGCAGCTTCCCTTCTCTGCCCTCCACCCTGCTAGTTGAGGTGACTGATGTTATAAGTTGGATGTACATCCATTCAACACCTTCTGTATGGATATACAGCACATACAGACCCATACATACTTTCTACAGGTTCCCATGCACCTCTACGTTTTTATTGAAAAGAGGGTCACGCCCTGGCCATTATGGCTCAGTGGTGAGAGCGTTAGCCCATGGACCAAAGAGTCCTGGGTTCGATTTGGGCTAAGGGCACATACATCAGTTGTGGTTCGTCCCTGGCCCAGGTTGGGATTGTGCAACCAATCAATGTGTCTCTCGCATCAATGTTTCTCTTTCTCTCTCTCTCTTCTTCCCTCTCTCCCTCCGGTTCTATCTGAAGATAAATGTAAAATTATCCTTGAGTGAAGATTCAAAAAAGGGGGGTCACATTATGAAACGTTTTTTCTCTTCATATATCATGAATATCTTTCCAGGTTAATAAATACATATTTAAACCAGCCTTTTTAATAGATACGTAATATTCCATGCTATAGATGTACAACGACAATTCATTCTACTCATCCTGTTCACAGGCAGACATCCAGCTTGTTTCTAATTTTTTTAAATTAATATGTTTTCATTGATTTTTAAAGAGAGAGGAAGTGAGAGACAGAAACATCGATTTGGCTGCCTCCTGCACACCCCCTACTGGGGAGCGAGCCCACAACCCCGGCATGTGCCCTGACTGGGAATCAAACCTGGACTTCTCACTCCATAGGCTAATGCTCAATCCACTGAGCCACACCAACTGGGCTTGTTTCTCATTTTTGATCTGTGCAAACAATGTTCCACTAATATGCTTACTACTTACATACTTTTCATTTTTGTAGGACAAATTCCTAAAAGTTCTTTTTATGTTTTAAAAGATATCTTCAAAATCCTTAAGCTGTAGCAGTTTACAGGGTGCCAGTTAACCCCATATGCTCTGCCAACACCATGTGTTAACTATGTTTGTAATTTCTCCCAGTTCAATAGGGAGTTGACAGAGATCAGCAATCATGAATGTATGCAAAGACTTCTTCCCCAGAATCTTCTTTTATATAATCTTAAAGTACAAGATAATGTTAATATCCTAAGAAAACGTTTCCATTTCTTAATTTTACATTACCATTTCTTGTTACCTGCTAAGTAAATTTCACTTATTTTAGCATTTAGAGTTCTCATGTATTTAAGTCCTGTAAGATTACTTCTTCTTATCTGTGAAGAAACTGTAGTAGTATTTAGAAAAATATAAATATTTGTTGAGCTTTTATTATGTTATAGATACTGCACTAAATCCTGGGAATATATCATTGGCATTCAAAGGTGTCTACAATATGTTAAGTAACAGCAAAATAGGCTATAAAACAACTGTATGTACAGTATGATCCTGCTCATGTAAAAAAAAAAGCTTTTATTAAATGAATTTATATGTGTAAAGCATAAATTGTAAAGAAGAATGCATGACATATGGTAAGCACACAATAATTCATAGTCGATGCTGTTGTTATAATACTGACCCCTGCTGTTATATACTGCACCTGCTTAGGGGAAGTTTCCCTTACCATCCTCTTTCTAAACGCCATCCTTTCCTTAATTTCCTAATTATTTACTTTTCCTATACTCCACAAAAAAGCTTTAAGGTTCCATTAATTCTCTTCCTGAAAAGCAAATTTTAAGAGCGTAGTAACTATACTTTTAAATTTTCTCTATAAAGTTCTTGACCATAATGTAAATATTTATCTAGTGACCCTAAAATAAACAGCAAGGTTTAACTACAGCAATATTTGGGATATGTTAAAACAAAACGTTCTGAAATTATAACAAAACTTCTCTAAGGTATTTAATGAAAATGAAGGAAATGTACTCTCTAAATTTAGGATATTGGTTTTTATATGCTCAACTGTTGTATACTGTTATATACAATGTTAAGTTTTGGCCCTACCATCATTTACATTTCCTTTCCTGTGAACCAAGGAAGGGTCATGCCCATTTGAACGCGGCTGATCTGAGGTAAAATGTCAAGGGAGACAAAGTCTGACCTCAGTAAGTCCACCTTCCCATGAGATACCAAGCTTCTTCCTTCCTTCCTCTCCTCCCAAAGCCCTTCCCACCTCTCCCTAACCCCCAGTAGCTGCCCACCATTTCCTTTCTGATTCAGGGACCAGAACCTCTTCTTGACACTTTCATCAAAACATCCTCCTAGGTAAGAATCTAATAACCTCACCCCCCCCCTTATTGATTTAAGAGAGAGAGGAAGTGAGAGGGAGATAGAGATAGAACATCGATGAGATAGAATATCCACTGGCCGCCTCCTGCATGCCCCCCGGTGGGGATTGGGCCCACAACCTGGGCATGTGTCCTGACGGAATCGAACCGGCAACCTTTTGGTGCATGGGTCAGCGCTCAATCACTGAGCCACATCGGTCAGACTAATAAACTTTTTATACTGAAAAATAAAAACTGTCAGGTTTAGTGCACTATTCCTCTCAGGAGTATTTGTATTTCTAACAAAAAATAAAGGTCTTTGGTGAAAGAAATGAAGTTCTAATTGAGAAATTTAAGCTTAAGTCACTGAGGAAAATGAAATTTGAAAGAAATAAGAGCTTCTTAGATTACTGAGATATTGTCTACCTAGCTAACTTAAAACCCATATCATTACAGATTTATTCTTTTAGCCATGCTAATAACAGTCAGTTTTATTATCTAAATGTAAATATACTGTAGCATACAAAAAAACCTATACTAACAACAATGCTAGGGGAGTGGGGGGGCTGGATGCGGAGGAGGGGTTTAGGGGGGGAAAGGAGAAACATCTGTAACAAAAATTAATAAAAATTGGAGGGAAAAAAACCTATATTAAGATCACTAAAAATATAAGAAAATCCTTTAAAATTTCCCATATAATTAATGCTCATTCTTTTTAACAGTGGAGAGAAAGAAGGGAAGAGCAGAGGGAGGGGGGAAGAGGAAGGGGAGATAAGTGACCTGTCCACTGACACGGCACTAAGCGGGGAGCTAGAGTTTGTGCTAAAGTGGAGAATGGAACCTCAGAGCCCACATTTTCAGTAACTATGACAGACGCTTCTGCTCTCTGATACACTATTATGATGTTCTGGACCTCAGAGGGTTTACACTTTCAACACATCCTGTTTTAATGAAAATATACTCTTGATGTCACTTTTCTTTAGAAGTGTGAAAACATTAAAGGAAAAACCACACTTACCTGAATGTAATATATGCCCTTTTCCTGAGCATACATCATTAGAAAACAGTAATCTAGGTTTTGCTTTGTTCTCCATCTGAAATTAAAATTTTCAGAAATAACTTAAGAATCAGATTCAAATTAGACAAAAATAGGATTAAATGTATTACATTTTATAATATATATTATGATATAACATAATATTCTATAATATGTACATATATTACAGACAAATATGTATATATTATGTATACATAATATATATCTATATAGACAGATATAAAGATATCAGATATGCACATATACAATATATCCACTTAGGAGAGAGTGAAAGGGAATCACTTTTCTCTAATGAAGCAATTACCAAAATGTATTCCCCAAAACACTAATCCTCAAGATGTCCGGAGGAAAAATGAAGTCCAATGTTAAGAAAGGTTTGGAAGCACACACATTCCCCCTTAGGAGAAATATTAATACACATACAGAGGCACTGAAATATCCAGCAGTTAATACATTTGTTGAAAAAACTATAATCCAGTATTTTCCAAATGTCCCTGACTACCAGCCCTTTTTTCAGTAACATCTTAATGTCTCTGGGAACTAGTGCTTTAAAAACTACACTTTGGGGATCACTGCTCTGGTGCCTAGGACTGTACTTCAAGTAGGAAGAAATTAATAAATGCATATTGAATGCTTAAAAATCCCAAAACATCCTATTAAAATGTACAATATTAAGTCCTTTCAGTGAATCCTGGTTGCCTATAGAATCTGAAGAATTTTAAATAAGAGAAGTGGTTTTAAAAAAACAACAGTAAAATAAAAGCTTTGAAGCAAAATTCTCCATAATACAGCTCATGGGCTGTTCTGAATTTAATGAGACTACCTATAATTTTTTACCAAACTCAACCCTCAATTTTTGAAAAATAAAATTATATTTATTGAGAGACAATCAATTATGTGGACATATCTGTCTTTGGGACAAATTAACAACTCAAGAAGTACAATAAATCTCTTCCCCAAATGCAATTTTTTCCTTTTCTCTAATTACAGAAAATTCAAAACTAATATCAGTATCTCTGAGATTACTTTGTTTTGAATAACACGATGAAAGTTAAGTCCTTCAATTTTAGAGATTTAGAAACAAATCCAATTGACTAATTACATTATTACTATATAATTTTGCAGAACAGTATTATTGTTTTTGTTACTTTTATCGAGTCAGCTCTTATTTATGTTGCATAGACATGAGCTTTCTATCTGGACTAACTTCTGAGTTAAAGATAATATACTCTTAAGAAAAGTTGTAAAATCAGAGCAGCAATTATAAAAATTATAAAGTTTACCAAATTCAACCTCTCATCAGAAACTCTAATAAAATACTCTAATAGAATTCCCAATAAAATACCCCAAAATTCATTAGCTCTCACTAATTGGCTCAACCCTGAACTGTGTGAAGCTTTGATAAATAAGAACTACATTTATCATATATTATATTCACAAGGGTGGGGGTTCTAAAAAATACAGGCTACAGGCTCACCTTACTCTTTCTTTAGAGTCTCCAAATGTCTCCTTTAAGTTTGTCAAGTCAGGATAATAGTTTTCAGGAGGTGATATTATCTCCACCAAACCAGAACTGATTTCTTTAGGAAATCTATTATAAGAAAGGTTAGTCATTTAAGCTATGTAGGATTTTATTTACCTTAATGCTCAATTTACTATGTTAACATAAAACACATCAGTAAGGTATACAGTTATGGTCACAATGTGTTCAATGATTTGCCAGAAAATACAGATTTTCCAATAGCAAAATGTTTTTCTTTTTTTTAATAATGCTTTAAAAAAGTGTAAAATGCCACTGTTCTTAGAACGGCATGGAAATCCTAGGCCAAATGCAGGTATTACTTTCCTAAAAAGTATAAAAATTTTAAAAAATCATATCAAAGTGTCACCAAAAGAGAAATTGAAATAAAACAAAGTAATGAGTGAGTGAGTGTGTGTGTTTATGCAAAAATCAAAGTTCTTCATTTTTCAGGAAGGTTTAGTTGTGGGTTACACACAATATGTCCCTCTAAACTAATGTTTTTCAACTGAGAGCACTCTTGTCCTTGGAGGGTATACTGAGCAAGTCCAGAGACATTTAGTCATCATCACTACAGGCAGTACTAACATCTAGTGGGTAGCCATCAAGGATGCTGTTAAACATCCTACAATGCATAGGACAGTCCTCACAACAAAGAATTATCTAGCTCAAGGTGTTAAGAGTGCCAAGGTTGAGAAACTCTGTTCTAAAGTTTTTAAAATCAGTCTTACTCAAATGCAATTTCCTTCTCATTTGCATTATCCTTTATTTCATTTTTGCAAATCTCCACAAAATGCTTCCCCCCCACCCCACCCCCGGGCATGGTTTTCCTACACAATGATAAAAAGGGAATCAACAGAATCACTGCATGTGCCCCGCAGACCTGCCCATGTGGCACATGGGATGGGAACTAATCATTATTGCGCTGGTCCTATAGTAAGAGTCTATACTAAGTTGTACTTACATGAAGGCTGCCAAGAAATTGAGCACTTGAGGAAAAATCTAAAAATGTAGTTTAATCCTGAATTATACATATATTTTTTAAATCTCTGGTTTTAGCATTTGATAGACAAAGATAGAGCCACATAATTTTAAACCGAGAGTTGACAAATAATTGTTGCTTCTCTTTTGTCTTTTTAAGTAGAAGATAGGTCTTCAGGGGCAAAAACAGATACAATTCAATGAAGAACCATATTAAGACTGATTTTTTTAAATGTTACTATTAAAACTACCAAGGCAATATTTTAAAAATCAATGACACCTGAAATTCACTAAGCTTTCCATGTTACCTGTGATGTGCCTTGCTCACAGTAAATTGTTCCTCAATCTTTGCAAAATAGATCAGATTTAGACATAGGTTAGCACTGAGGTTTGAAACTGCTAAATGACTATCTGCTCTGACAGCAGAAAAATTTTTGCTTGGTAAACAGAATGTGACAAATTTAAGGACTCTCATAATGACTCTCTCTATATTCACTGTTTTCCAGGTAAAGGATTGTTATTTGATAATGTTACATATATAACATTCAAATCTTTTCTATAATGAAATACACCAATGTATCCCATCAGATAACTGGATTGATATGTACCTACTTTACGACAATGCCAAAGACCAACTGTAGGTGGTCCAATGAACACTGAACTCCACAGAAATGAACTATAAAAGAAGGCATTATCTTTTAGCAGAATGTAAAGAGATAATAGTATGATTATTTTAACTTTTATAATTAAAAAGAACTTACTCTTTCTCCAGGTTGGCTATAACACCGTGTACATAATCAATATCTGTCTGGGAAAGATAAAAAAATTTGTACCTACGTTCATTGTTTTTATATTTTTATTTAACTCTTAATACTAAACTCAAAATTAAATAGATGAGTAAAACATTCATTGAAAACATTACATTAAATTTTCAGATAACTTGTGGGATTGGCATTTCTATATTCTACTTTTTTGCACCACTATATATCACTGACTACTTACTAATAAGCAGATAACTAAGTTTTTATTCTTCTCAATTGTCGATGTTCAATTCACTAGAAAAAAAACTGAGCACAGTAACTATTTCTGCTACTTCTGAAACATCCAAATTTTAAGTAATGAATAAATAACAGCTGTAACATGCTATTGGGAAAGATGTGTCCACTTAGAATCATAAAACCTAGCTTCAAGATTTGCCTCTGCAGTTACTGGCCCGCATCATTTAAAGTAAGCCACTTCTCTAAGCCTCAGTTTCCTACTCTAAAAGAAAAAGAGAGAGAAAAAAATACCTCAGAGACTATGACAGAAAGTGATAAAAATGTAATAAAAAGCTTAGTTGTTATTCTATATTATTATTACCAAGTTGATAATGAGAACCCAAGTCAAGAGCACTTTAACCACAGGTAGAAATACATTATTTATGAGACCTATGTACTTTCAAATTATATACAAGTGCAGATCCAATACCCCTATCAATTTTTAATTCAGTGACAGGTTATAGTAAAATGCTCAACTGTTAAAAGAAATCAATAACACATCAAGTCTGATCTATGTTATACAAACTACCAAAACACTTAAAACTTGAGGAAAAACAAAGATAAAGCTTAGCTCTGGAAATTACAAAACTTTTGGATTTTAAAATGTTGTTTATGGAAAAATATTTTAACTTTAATTTCTGTTAATTGAAAGTAATTTCTATTTTTATTATTAAATTTAAAGACTCAGGAGTGAGCTACAACTAGAATACAGCCCACAGCTCTCTGTACATCCTCTCCATAAATGCAAACAATAGTGATCTCTTTTTCAATAAATTACTACCCATATGTTTAACCAGTGAATTTGGAGAACATGATCAAGACTGGTTTACATAAACTTCAGTAAGATTAGCAACAAGATGAAACTCAATTTGATAAGCATTTACTGAGTGCCAGTAACTTGCCCATCCAAGGAAACAGAAATATAAATATGAACAGGACCAACCCCCTATCCCCAGGAGGCTCCCCAAAAGGGGGCCAAGAAAAATGAATGTATGTAAATATAGATTTACTGTGTCACATGTAATAAAATTTATGAAATGCAAATGCTCCATATTTAATACTACACATAATCCTTACGTTGCATGCTGATTGACATAACTAGCAAAAGATTCACTTGAACTTCCGTAATTGGTATCACTTTCATACAATAGAATCAGTCCTGTCTGATACCAGCTGAGGGAACTGTTCTGGGACTCCTCTGAAGAAAGCTAAATGTATAACTGGCCCAGAACACACAACCGGGCCAATCTGTATCTCTCAGTAGGGCCTCTACTTGCCTCTCCCCACTCTTAAATGTTGGCAGTAAGAAAGGCAGTTTTTGAGATCTCGGGACTTGCTTGATTTATGTAAAGACAGCATTTTTTCCGAAGACTTTTTTTAATTTTTTTATCCTCACCTAAGGACATTTTTTGTTCAGATACAATGGGAGGGAGGGAGGGGGAGGGGGAGAGGGGGGAGAGGGGGGAGAGAGAGAGAGAGAGAGAGAGAGAGAGAGAGAGAGAGAGAGAGAGAAACATCGACATGAATGGGACACATCAAGTGGTTGCCACCCGCACGACCCAATCAGGGCCGGGGACAGACTACAACCAAGGTACATGCCCTTAGCGGGAACCTAACCCAGGTCTCTCTGGACCGCAGGCCGACGCTCTAACCGCTGAGCCAAACTGGCCAGGGCTCCTAAGACTTTTTTAAAGGCATGTGGAAACTTTTTAAAAGGTAGTATTATCAATCCAATTCTGAGAACATCTGAGTCTAAAACTAGAATATGTATATTCTAGGGGTATGTAAACAGTATGCTTGGGATAGGTGGAAAGGAAAGTGGGCACACATAGCAAAAGAAAAGCATTTTTTTCCCTGCAGAATCAAGTGTTCTTCATAGTTAAATTCAATATTTTTATATTAAAACTAGGAGGTATTACTGATAATACTACACCATGCATGAACCTTGAAAATATTACGCTAAGTGAAAGGAGCCAGTCACAAAGAAACATATATTATATGATTGCACTTATACAAAATATCCAAAATAAAAAAACTCTATAGAGAAAGAAAAGTAGGTTAGTGGTTGCCTAGGGCTGGGGGTTGGGGGAGTGGTATTAATGGGTGATAGCTATGGGTGCATTTTTGGAGTGATGAAATGTTCCAAAATTGATTGAGATGAAGGCTGTACAACTCTGACTTTAAATAGGTGAATTGTATCTTATGTGAATCACACACAAAAAGAAATAAAGTTAAATTTTTAAGAAAAGTATTTCAGATTGTGCATAGAAACTGTGTGATTACCAGATCATGCAGCTTCTCTTAATAATATATAAGGAAAAGATTAAGAAGCATAAAAGCAGGTTCAAATAAGCCACTAATATTGACAATTCACCAATATATACTCATATACACATAATCCATCATCAATATATATACTTGGCTTAAGAGTCAATTTTACCAGCAGTGTATAAATTATTTATTTATTTTATCCTCAACTGAGGACATTTTTGCATTTATCTTCAGATAGAGCGGGAGGGAGAGAGGGAGGAAGAGATAGAAACATCGATGTGGGAGAGACATATCAAGTGGCTGCCACCCACACAACCCCAACCGGGGCTGGGGACAAACCACAATGGAGGTACATGCCCTTAGCAGGAACCGAACCCAGGTCTCCCTGGTCCATGGGTTGACGCTCTAACCGCTGAGTCAAACCAGCCAGGGCAAGCAGTGTGTAAATTAAACAATAATAATAACTTCCGATCTTTGTTATTTTAAATCAATAATTTATAAAGTCTCATTTGAAAAGAAATATGTCTTTCTGAAACATCGTGAAGGTCAGAAAACTGCAAGAAAGTCAACTGATTTCAGGGAAACTTTCCATTAAAATCAATCAATATATGAACTAACTTCACTTTGGAATATGCTATAGCTGTTGTGTTCTGTAACACTGCAAATGTGTGAAATATAAATCTGAGTACAGATATATTTTAAAAAATAAATTATAAGCATTTATTTCTAATGGTCCAAAGAATAAAACAAAGTTGTAGGCAAGCTCCTATGAAAAAAAAATAAATGTGACAAATGTCAGAGACTTGAGGCTGCTGTAAAACAGTTACCCAGATGAAAAAAATATTAAGCACCATATCAAGAGAGAACATAGAAGAGAACTAAGTTTTAAATAACTTGAAGATAAAAACTGGTTTTAGCCCTGGCCAGTTTGGCTCAGCGGTTAGAGCGTTGGCCTGCGGTACAGAGAGACCCGGGTTCAGTTCCCGCTAAGGGCACGTACCTCGGTTGCAGTTTGTCCCCGGCCCTGGTTGGTCGTGCAGGTAGCAGCCACTCGATGTGTCCCTTCACATTGATGTTTCTCTCTCTCTCTCCCTCCCACTCTATCTGAACAAAAAATGGAAAAATGTCCTCGGGTGAGGATTAAAAAAAAACAAAAAAACTGGTTTTAAAAAATATCCTTTATATGTAAACTTACTATTTTCTTTCTAGTCTTTTTTTTTTCTTGGTTAATTCTCACCTAAGGATATTTTTCCATAGATTTTTTTAGATAAGAGTAGAAGAAAGAGAGGAAGGGAAGGAGGGAAGGAGTGAAGGAGTGAAGGAAGGAGAAGAGAAACATCAATGTGAGAGAGACATATCGATTAGCTGCCTCCCACACACTGGGGCTGGGGACCAAACCTGCAACCCAGATACATGCCCTTGACCAGGAATCAAACTCACGACCATTTGGTCTGCAGGCCGACACTCTAACTACTGAGCCAAACTGGCCAGGGCTTCTTTCCAGTCATTCCACTCCACAAATATTTACTCAGTGCCTACATATATATATACATATATATATACACACACACCACACACACACATATGTATATGCGCTCTGCATATAGATTAGTAATTAAACAGACAAGATCTCTGCATTGTGAAATTTAAAACTAGCGGAAGATGCAGTCTATAAAAAATCATATATAAATATATAATTGAATATTTATTAAGTGCTATAAAAACAGTATGCAATAATAGAGAAAAACAGAGATGACTTATTTGAACAGGACAAAGAAAGTCTCTAGTCTAAAGATTTGACATTTAATCCTACATCTGATATCTACTTCATCAAATCTACAAAAATAGAAAACACTAAGAAGAATACTGTAGGTTAACTAACATGTTAATTAGGGCTTTGCCTCTGCCCAGAGACAGGATGTGTGCAAGTCTGGAATATATCAGACTGTAAATTTTTTATTTTTGATATTTATTTTTGATATATTTTAAGTGGTATAACATGCTACTAATAGTACACATATGTAATTTGTTAATATATGACATATATACAAATTGGGAGCACATGATCAATGGGATGCTGAGCAGAGAAGCTTAGAAGGCACTGCTATATTGGATGTATCCTGGTGAGAGAGGCTGAATTAGACAAAGAGCTTATAAAGTGGTCTTGGGGAAGAGGCCATAAAAATAAAGATATCCACCACCTTTGATGGTTGCCTTCTAAATAACCTCTTGTAACTTTATATCATTAGATGAATAGCATTATTTGAGCCTTCTCTATGCTGTTAAGTACTGAAACAAACTGCACTTGAAATCTTAAACAAAATCATGAAAGGACTTGCTTAGGTCTTAGAAGCCCACTGGTCAACAGTCCACAGCCTAGGACGTAGCAGGAGGCCAGACAAGCGAGCACTGTGAATGGGCTATCAGGTTGCCCTCCTATAGAAGGGATAGAGATTGGAGTGCCTCCCTTTTACAGGTGCCTACACACCTGGGTGTTATGAGGTTGTATGTAGCATGAACTCTTAGTAGTGTTAATTAAATGTAGGATAATTCACCAAAAAAAAAAAAAAAAAAGGTTTCTCTCCAGCACATTTTTTTTTTTTGGTCTTTTTCTCTATATATTTTATTTTGGATAGATTCTATTGTTATTCTTTAAATTCAGTGACCTCTTCTTCTGTTGTGTCTCATCTGTTATTAAGATCTTGCAGTGAATTTTTAATTTCAGGTATTATAATTTTCATTGTTTTATGTTCCATTTGATTCTTTTATATAGCTTCTATTCCATTTCTTATTGTGTTTCTTTTAAATACTTGAAAATATTTATTAACAGCTGTTTTATTTTCCTTATCTACCAGTTGTATCTATTCTATCATTTCTAGATTTATTTCTATTGGCTAAATTTTATTCTAGTTATAGATATATATATATTTTTTGCTTCTTGGCACTCTAACAATTATGATATTGGACATTATAAATGCTACACTGTAGTGTCCTGATTTTGTTGTCTTCTTTTAAAAAGCGTTGAGCTTTATTCTAGCAGGCTGTTATTTGTGGATCAGTTGATCGTTACAGGCCTCTTTCTAAACTTTGCTGGGGTAGGTCTAGAATCACCAATTCAAGGACAAATCAGTCCTACTACTAAGGTGTTGACCCCTCTGGAGGCCCCACTGAATACCCCATGTAATTACCAAAGATATGCCGTTCTGGCTGATCAGACCTCATCCTGTGAGCAATGGGAACTGTTCAGCTTACAGCTCCCTGATCATTCTTTTTCTATGCATGTGTGGCCCAATACAACAAAGATTCAAAGGCACCATCATTTTCTGTATAGCATGCTCCTTTCTGGAAGTCTGTTCTGCAATTTCCAGCTGCTCACTTTAGATTTCCCCTTCCTGCAATGTGTTCTGAAATGTGTCTCCTGGAAGAAAGCTGGGGCAATCATGTTGCCCATTGCATTTATTTTCCTCTCTCAGGGAATCAGATCCTGCATAGCCTGCTGTCCAGTGTCTGAGAACAACTGAATCATATATTTTGTCAGCTTTCTAGTTATTGACAGCAGGAAGTAAGTCCAATCCATCATGGCTGGAAACTGATATCATTTTATATAACATGGAACCAATAAGAATTCCAGGAAGATAATGTATACAAGTGACAAATCAAAAGAACTAAATAGCCCTGGGCAATGTATCTCAGTGGTTAGAGTGTCAACCAATGCACCAAAGAATCTCGGGTTCAATTCCCAGTCAAGGGCACATACCTGGGTTGCAGATTTGATTCCTGGCCTGGTCAAGGCACAATGTGTCTCTCGCATATCATGTTTCTCTCTCTCTCTCTCTCCCTCTCCATCCCTCCCCCATTTCCACATTCTCTAAAAATCAATAAAAAAAATATCCTCAGGTGAGAATTTAAAAATAAATTTTGGGGAAAAAAAGACTAAATGGACAGGCATAGTTGAGTATAGGACTGACAGCTCATAAGAAATTTTATTTCCTTGGGGTCCAAGAGAAAGCTATTTCTTCCTACCTAATGCTTCATTTTCTGATACTGTAATTTAATGCAGATGAGGCTAACAAATATAACTATCTTTGCGAGTTTCTAAAATGGTCAACCTGTTGAAAGATGAGTAAAATGGAAGAAGTTAAAAAGACAGATGAGAAAGGAAAGAAAAAGACCACTTCTTTGTTTTCAATATATCGACTATAGCATTTCTTTCCTTCTCCTAAATAGTTTGTTGATGCTACAGAAATATTTCTCAAATCATTTTTTATCAGAACCCATTCAGTTCAAACTATGTTCATAATTTGACTACTACTCATCCCACCTCCATGATTACCCTATTCCAAGACTACTGGATTATTGCAACAGTTTTCTAAGTAGTCTCCATGTTTCTGCCCTGTCAAAAGCAACCAGAGTGATCCTTTTAAAAGATGTCATCTTATTCTTGCTAAAACTGCATATTTGTATTAACCTACTGAAAACAGATGACTCTTCTGGGATTGTAGCTGCAGGAGAGAAGTTAAGACAAACATAACAAGTTAGACTTAAATTTAACTATTGGGTAGAATACATTACCTAACCTTTACTCATCACATTTTTAAAAAATGCTCATGAAAGTATATTCAAATATTAAATTATAGTTTCAACTCTTATAGATTATATTTGGTAAAAAATAACAATAATTAAATAATTACCTCTCCTATGAAGACTACTATTACACAGTCCAACTTCTCTTCAGGATACAAATTATCAATAAGGGAATGAAGAGTTTCTATGAGGTAAGATTTAACTTCTCTCTTCACAGTGGGAATTCCCATTACTATTGAAACTGAAAAAAAAATGATAGTAATTATATAAAAAGATTTTATGAAGACAATATAGAAAAACACCACTACTTCAAAAGTATTAAACCCTCTCAAATTGATAAAAATACTTGAGGGATCAAATTATACTACATTTCAGAAAAAAAAAAATAACCAAAGGATATAAAGGCATACCCATAATACTGTAATTCTTTTCCACAGGGTTCATCCATAAGAAAAGAAATGTCAAAGAATAAAAATGAAGGATATTAAACCTAACATTTAAAAGATTATAAAGCATAAACAACAAATTTAATTATACAACGAAACCTTAGAAACACTGAGCACATGGAGGGACCTGGAGAGCAAGCACCGTTCTAAGTGAAATAAGCCAGTCAGAGAAAGACAAAGGTCACATGATCTCACTTATTTGTGGAATATAATGAACAAAACAGATCCAGAGACATGGAAGTAGGGAACAGAATGGCAAACCTCAGAGGGAAGGGGAGTGAGGGGGCAGAAAGAGATAAACTAAAGATCTTAGATGCATATATGCATAACCAATGGACACAGACAACAGTGTGGTGAAGGTGGGCGGGTGGGAGGAGGGTGTCAAAGGGGGACATCTGAATACTTTCAATAAACATAAATTTAAATAATAACAATAATAATAAAAGAGAATACAAAATAAAATTCCAATCAAGTTGGATAGCACCACAAGGATGGTAAATTGAGAGAGAAAAAATTAATGTCCCAAATCTCATGTATATGATGCATTAAGAAGAACATGATATCCCTTCTGTGGTTTCCTTGCCAAAAATGAATAACCTCAACCTAACCATGAAGAGACATAAGACATCCAAATTAGGGGAATACTCCACAAAATAACTCATTGGCTAGTACTCTCTGAGGCGTAAAAATCAGGAAAGAGAAGAAAGATTAAGGAACTGTCTGTCCCCTGAGGAAGACTAAGGAGACATGATGATAATTGGGTGAAATAAGAGATCCTGAGCTGGATCCTGAAACAGAAAAATACTAATGAAAAAAAAAAAGGCAATATCTGAATAAGATTGAAGTTAATTAACAGTATAACATCAATGTTTATTTTCTGGTTTTGATCATGGTACTATGATTACATATGGAATAATAAACATTTAGAGGAACTAGGTGAGCTATAATGGAAACTACTATTTATATAACTTCTTTAAGTCTAAAATTTCAGTTCTACTATTATGCTTGTTTTGAAATACAAATTTGTCCCTATGTGTGATCAATATATTAGGGAACCATTTCAGCATAACATACATTTCATATTTACTTATTGCAATTTCTGTTCTGGGAAAAACACTCACTAGGTGAATGTAGAAAACTGCACTTACTGGAACAGAGTTCAGAAAACTGAACAGAGCTATGCAGAAATACACAAAATGCACACACTACCAGTTGAGCTACCAGCTGCCTCAGCTCACTGCACACTATGAACCACATCTATCCAAATCTGGCGTTACAACTTACTGTCCGATTTCAGAGAACCTTCCTATCCACTTCTCAAAAGCAGCCAAGCTGCAGTCCTTCTGAAACCCATTTTAACATATAAACTTCAGATCTCTTTCAAGGTAGAGTAATGTATTTATTGTGTAATTTTCTATTTATTAGTCATTCAATGTGTGTAAAATTGTGCTACCATTTTTATTAGGTTCTTATCTTCTTTAATGTGCAACTGACCAAGTTAATGAGTGGTGTAATCCTAATCCCATTTTTCTCAGTTTACTGTACCATTCTGCATAGTACAATAATTTTTAAAAATGTATATATACTGTGTTACAGTAGGACTATATTTCCCAGAAAGTTTTAAAAAATATCATCTTTTAAGAACTCTTAGTATCCTGCCTGTTAAATATCAGTAGAGAAATACTTTACAAATTTTAAAAATAATTAAGTTTTAACAATTTATTAGAGATACTACAAAATACTTACAATTTATAGAATTCTAAAGCTAGAATTCATGAATCAACGAATCTACCGCCATGATTCTACAGATAAAAATTATAAGACCAAATAATTTAAGGGACTTCCCCAAAGTTTCCCATTTCTCTCTTCCATTTTGGGACAAGAGTTTTCAAGGGCTCAAAAAGAGATTTGCTATATTTCTTTCAAATATATTTAGTTAAGACCTACTAAATGTAAGGCATTACTCTATGTGACAGGGATATAATAGTGAACAGGATAGATAAGGTCCCTACCCTCATGGAACTTACATTCTAGAAGAGAGGAGAAGATAAAATAATACAGTCTTAGAGGGTAACATGTACTATACAAATTAAAATGTGGCAATACTCCCCTTGGCCGGTTTAGCTTAGTGATTAGAGCAACAGCCTGCAGACCAAAGAGCTGCAGGTTCGATTACCAGTTAAGGGCACATGCCTTGGTTGAAGGTTCGATCGCCGGCCCCTGTCAGGGTCATGTGGGAGGCAACTAATTGATGTATCTTTCTTACACCAATGTTTCTCTCCCTCTTTCTCTCCCTTCCTCCCTCCCACTCTAAAAATCAATAGAAAGCTCTGGCCAGTATGGCTGAGCAGTTAGAGCGTCGGCCTGTGGTCCAGAGAGACCAGGGTTCGGTTCCCACTAAGGGCACGTACCTTGGTTGCAGTTTGTCCCCGACCCTGGTTGGGTCATGCAGGAGGCAGTCACTCAATGTGTCCCTTTCACGTTGATGTTTCTCTCTTTCTGTCTCTTCCTCTCTCTCCCTCCCACTCTATCTGAACAAAAAATGTCCTCGGGTGAGTATAAAAATAAATAAATAAATAAAAATCAACTGAAAAATATCCTGGGTGAGGACTGAAATAAATAAATAAATAAATAAGGCAATATTAGAAAGAGTGGGTAAGGGGAGGGATAGTGAGGGTAAAGGAAGGCCTCTCTGGCATAAACTGAGTTGATAATTAATGATGAGGAGGAACATTCCAGCAGAAGAAACAATAAGGCCCTAAAGAGATAATGATCTTAACATAGTTAAGAAACAGCTAAGAAAAGAATATATCTAAAGCAGAATGAACCTAGATTCATAGCATTAGTTGGGGGTCATTTCACATAAAACTTTCAATTTAGTTTTAATTCTGAGTAAGAGAAAGCCATTATACTGGGAAAAAAAAGGCAGCGGAGTGAATGGAAGCTACACAAACCATCTCCCAGGACCAAACTGGAATTACAATGAAAATAAAGACAAATTGTCAGGAAGGGTCAACCGAAAGGCAGCTTGGAGGACCACATAACCAGGGACACTAACTCAATCCTGGTAGGCTTGCAAGTACGCGAGAGGGGGCTGGGAGCCCGCGATCCGCAGCAGCCTCGGTTGGGACCTGCTGCAGCCTCGGCTGGGGCAGGCGGCCCCGGCTGGGACCTACGGCTCCCTCGGCTGGGTGTTACGCCCTGAGCTGGGAACTGCCACAGCCTTGGCCACCCTTAGCTGGGAGCGTGCCCTCGGGATAAAGTTCCAGACGACTCCATGGCGCAGAGCCCGGACAGAGGCTAAATTGGCAGCAGCCACTCACCTTGGACTCCGGCAGAGGGAAGGCACACTGGACTGGAACTGTGTGGGGACACTCTGGATTTAGAGGGTGCTCAGAGCTTTTGCTGAGTGCAGCCACGCAGGACTGTGGTCATCTTACTCCTACCCAGGGCCCTGGAGAGAGGCAGCGGACCCTCCCTCGGAGATTCAACCCTACCCAGTGGCCATTGAAAAGCTAATTGAGGCCCATTACCAACCAGCATCTACCCTACCCTCGGGAAATCCTCTTACACTGAGCACCTGAGGAAGTTTTTCATTCAACTCAGAAACCAAGGTTCTTCAGGTGACCGCTACTAATAGCCTCCAGGCAAAAAAGCTAGAGGATAACTACCATTCCCTGGGCTAACAACTCTAACCAGGAAACTTAAGACTTGACAGTGGTGTTTAAAGTGGGTCCTCCCTGCCTCATCCAAACCCAGGAGAGGGAGCCACAAACAGCAGAACTCCAACACTCACAGTGAAAATTTGGCAGCCTCCAAAGCCCACTGTGATAGCCAAAATGGTGAAAAACAGAAACAAAAGTCAAATGAAAGAACAAGAAACCTCTACCAAAGATGAGATAAATGAGGTGCAGTTAAGCAAGTTAACAAAACTAGAATTAAGAGCCATGATCTTGAGGAAGCTCAACAGCATAAGTAAGGACATGAGAACCATGAGTAAAGACATAGAAATGTTGAAAATCAACCAGTTGGAAATTAAAAACCACCAAGAAGAAATGAAGAATGACATATCAGAAATAAAAAACACATTGGAAAGTCTAAATAGCAGAGTAGAGAAAGCTGAGGACCGGATCAATGAATTAGAAGATAGGATAGAAAAAATTAACCAATCAGAAAACCAAAAGGAAAAAATAATTAAAAAACAGGAAAACAGCTTAAGAGAACTGTGGGACAACTGGAAACGTAATAACATTCACATCATAGGAGTCCCCAAAGAAGAAGAAAATGAGCAAGGGTTAGAGAAAATATTTGAAGAAATACTGACAGAAAACTTCCCTAATTTGGTGAAGGAAGAAGGCATTCAAGTTCAAGAAGCACAAAGACCCCCAAATAAGAAGAACCCAAACAGGACCACACCAAAACATATAGTAATCAAAGTGCCAAAAATTAAAGACAAAGAGAGAATCCTAAAAGCAGCAAGAGACAAGCAACAGGTTACCTACAAAGGAAACCCCATAAGGCTCTCAGCTGACTTCTCAACAGAAACACTACAGACCAGAAGAGAATGGCATGAGGTAATCAAGGTCATGAAAAACAATAATCTGAATCCAAGACTACTCCACCCAGCAAGGCTGTCATTCAAAATAGAAGGTCAAATAAAGAGCTTCTCAGACAAAAAAAGGCTAAGGGAATACATTGGCACCAAACCAGCACTGCAAGAAATGTTAAAAGGACTGCTGTAATTAGCAGGGGAAATAGGAAGAAAAATATAACCACACTAAACAAAAATGGCAAT